TGACCACAAGGAGATCAATGATCAGAAAAGGATGAAGTGGAGGGTGAATAAGGGCTGCCTCGTGTTTTAAATGTGTTCTTCCACAGTGTCAAGCACATAGTAGATTTTTCAGTAGATACTTGATGGATACATGTCAAATGTATGCACTTGTTATGGTGTACCAAGAGTAAAGGGGAAGAACATTAGTCTATTTGTAGCTCAAATTATGTCCCTAGCCAGTCATATTTTTAAACATGTAAGCAGTATTTTTGGTTATTGTTTTGTTTTGTGGGATCTGAAAGGTGAGTTGTTGTAGAAGTAGTATTGTTGTTTTTGTTGTTGTTATTATTATTGTTAAATGTCATGGAGTCATAGGCGACTCATAGAGATCCTATGAATGAAAGACCTGGACTCTTGTATAACTTACATCCTTTCTACAGGTTCCTAGGGTTTCTGGAGGCAAGCTATTTCAGAAGTGGATGCCACTCCTGCTTCCAAGCTTGTTTTAGTCAGGGAGCTCCATCAAACACTGTCTACCATGGGTGACCATTACCACATTTGACACCTCAGTGTCACACTGTTCAGCTTCACAGCAACCACAGGTTACTTCTGTACAACAAATGGACAGACCAGGGCTACTGGCCTAGAATTTTTAGAGCTTTAAGAGGTTTCCTTTGACAAAATAAATTAGATGTTATACACTGCCCTTCTGTGCCGTTGTTTCTTTCCCTGACTTTGTAAAAGTTCTCATTAGTGTTCTGACTTTACTATAATTGAGATACAGGGCTCAAGAAGTAGCATGCTTCTTTTATAGATGAAGGGGCACACGACAAAGACTAACTGCTTCTCCCTGGTTCCCACTGAGCTTTATTCCTCTGTAAAGTCACCAAATAACCTTCTCATGGGTGCTCAGAAAGAACTGCTCTCTCAGGTCTTCCCAGCCTGGAACACACGATCTTTGAGAGGTTCCAGGAAACCCCATTCCCAGGACATGCTGCTGCAGTGATTCACAGATCTCTTTGCCACTTTGGTTTCTGATCGGGTACCTGAGTGTCTTGTGCTTCCAGGATTTCTTATTGTTGTTGGTAGCTGGCATTAAGTACAATTCATAATGACCCTATGAACAGCCAACCTGAACCTCTGCTATATCCTGTGCCATTCTCAACATCTCCAACACACTTGAGCCCATTGCTGAAGTCACTGTGTCAGTCCATCCCATTGGAGGTCTTTCTCCTTAACTAACCCTTCACCCTTCCAAGGATGATGTTCCTTTCCAAGATATAGCCTTGCCTAGCTACATGTTCGAAGTGTCAAAGATTTTCTATATTGTTTTGTCCCATCGAGTTGGAACCAACATTCCAGCAGGTTTTCAAAGGCAGTTAATCACAGGAGGAAATTGCTCATCCTTTTCCTGTGGAGCTGCTGGTGGATTTGAACTGCATGTATTGGGAATTGATAGGACTGAGAATATCAGGTCTTATTGCCGAGGGATGGCACATCCCTAGCAGGTTAAGTAAAGAACCTTCAGGTTAGATTCTAAAACACTGAGTCAGTTAACAAACATTTGTGTTCTTATTCATTGGCTGAATGCTGTGGATTCTGCACTGACATGAAAAAGACTGATAAATCTCAGCTAGGACTTAATTTTAGAGGGCATATTGTTGTACTTATTAGGCGCAGTCAAGTTGACTATGACTCTAAAAGTGTGATCATAAAAGAAGGAAAATCAGATTGTACTTCAATAATATTTAAAATACTTGCTGTGCAAAAGAATGATAAGACTTTCAAAATTTGGAAGGAAGTACTTGTAAACCATGTATATGATACAATGCTTATATTTTAAAGTATCAAAACTGAATGGTAAAATAAAAAGCAAATCATCCAGTTGAAAAATAGATAAAAGACATGAAGAAATATTTGGACAGCAAGAGGGGATATATGGATGGCCAGCCCATTAAAAAATAGGTGCAACATTTTTTAGCCATCTAAATTAAGTTGGTAATGAGATATTTAGACTCATCTAAAGATTCTCAAAATCGTAAAAAAGATAATGTATAACACTTGGAAAAAATTCTCCAGTAATGGCAACTTAAGAAAAATGTAATCTCTAAAACATTCAGAAAATTTCAGTATTTCCAAAAGACAAGCAGCTCGATTCAGACATCAGCCAGCAAACATAAGCGGACATGATTAGGATCATTGATAGATAGAAGCAAATTAAAACTACATTGCTTGGAGAAGGGGCATCCCATATAACGAGGGACCACCTCACCCTTCTCACATGACCCTGATTAAAAACAAGTACTGGGGAGGATATAAGGGCCTATTAAAGAGTAAGTAGATAAGCAAAATGTGGTTCATAAGTAGAATGAAAAATAGATAATCCCTGGGTCACAAATGGATTTGTAACTTGATTTTACATGCCCTTTGATATTATAGAGGGGAGCTCAAGGGCTGTGCTCCTGATCCAAATTCCTTGCTCGGTTTCTTCTCTGGAGAAAAATAAGCAGTCCCTTCCCTTGTAGAGTGTAACCTCCAAGACCCCTTGGAGGGTCGGCTGTTTATCACTAAAACCAGAAGAACTGGGTGATAACTGGCTATCACTTTTATGACCATTAACAGAATGGGTGAAAAATGTGAAATAACTGTAACACAGACTGACCCATATTATTTTTTTTTAAGTATTCTTTACAATATCAAAGCGTTAGGAACAACTAAAGTGCCATTAGTGGACAGATGACTAAAGAAAGTGCAGTACAATCACACACTAGTGTGTTATGCATCACCAAGAAACTATCAGGAATTTGTGAAGTATTGTACAATGTGGATGAATCTAGAACACATTATAGTGAATGACATAAGTCAGTCAAAAAAGGACAATTACATTATAAGGCTACTAATATAAAATGCTAAGAAAAGACTTATATACAAATAGAATCAATCTTGGAGAGTTAACAGGGATAAGAATGGCAGAAGGGGGGGCCGTACAGTTTGGTGGAGGGAGGGGGGAGTAAAGGAAATGGGAAAGATCCGGGGTGAAAAACAATGTATATGAACTTTGTAAGTAAACAAGTTGTTGTTGTTGTTGTTGTTATGTGCCGTCGAGTCGCTTGCGACTCTTAGCGACCCTATGTACAACATCCCTAAACTCTGTTCTGTCCTGTGCCAATCCGATACACCCATCCCGATTACCCCAGTCACTGAATCAATCCACCTCATAGAGGGTCTTCCCCTTCTGCTCTGTCCCTCCACCCTACCAAGCATGATGTCCCTCTCCAAGGACCTGTCCCTCCTTGGAACATGTCCAAAGTATGTTAGACGTAGCCTTGGAATCCTTACCTCCAAGGAGCAGCCCGGTTTGACCCTTTCCAGGATGAATCTGTTTGTTTTCCTAGCAGTCCATGGTACTCTCAATACTCCAGCACCACAACTCAAAGGCATCAATTCTCCTTCTATCCTCCTTAGTCATTGTCCAACTAGTATAAGATAAAAATTTTATTTTAGAAAAAATTTACTAGAGAAGTTGGGTGATGGAAAAATTTAGGTTTGATGAGACATTGTAATTAATTACAATTAGTTGTAATTAATATTATAAAATGAAAGACCTTTGTGCACCCATGTTTATTGTGGCTTTGTTCGCAATAGCAAAGAGCTGGAAACAACCCAAGTGCCCATCAACAAATGAATGGATAGAGAAGCTATGGTATATTCACACAATGGAATACTATGCAGCATTGAAAAACAAGGAACTTATGAAATATTATGCAAAATGGATGACCCTTGAGGACATTATGCTGAGTGAAATATCTCAGTCACGAAAGGACAAATATCACATGGGGCCACTATCGTAAAATGACTGACATCAAGGTTGAGGGAGGACAGAAAAGGAGGGGAGTAATGATGTATATTGCATTGAAACAGATGAGGGAGAGAACTGTTTAAAAGGAATCTGTGAATGGGTATTCTTGTCATTACAAAAGTCCAGAGTGAAGGCTGCATAGTGGAGTGGATTTGGGAGGGAGGGATTGCCTGACAATGAAAGATTTTTTCTTTCTTTTCAAGGAGAAGAGTGAATGGGGCGGGGGAGAAATGTGCAACAATGAATGACTGGAAACCCTAAGTCTCTGTAAACGTTCATTAAAATTAATTAGAAAATGAAAAAAAAAAAAGACCTTTGAATGAAAACCCAACATGATCCGTAGACTTTCACACAAATAAAAATTATATGTTAATAAAAAAAGTCTATACTTAATCTGTTGACTAGAAAACTTCCTGATCTTGAACCAGAACTCAAGGTCACCTTTTTGCTAAATGTCAGATTAATTTTATAAAGCATGGTAACTGTACTTATTTAAAAAATCATCTATGGGCCTTATGAATAGTTATTCTAAAGTGAAGAGGTCAGAGGACAGGAAAACTAGATTACTAGAGACAGAATAACCAAAATGAAAATAGTGAAAATGTTGACACATTGTGAAAAATGTAACCAGTGTCAGTGAACAATGTGTATATAAATTATTAGAAGGGAACTTAATTTGCTTTATAAACGTCCACTGAAAACACAGTAAAATATTATTTAAATGATTAGAAACTTTCTTATTTATGATTTCTATCTTGTTTTTTACAGATGAGACTATTTTTATAACTGTTTGTCAATGATTTCAAATAAGTATGATTATACCATAATTCTTTAGTAATCAGAAAACCCCCACATGTTTTATACTTCATTGGCAACAGTTTTCATGGTGCTTGCTGATGGCCATGAAATAACTTCAGAAAAGTAACTTTTTTCTTCTTTCTACTGTAATTTCCATGTTTCTAATATGAGTTGGTCACTAATGTCATTTTTTTAAATACTTCTAAGAATGACACTTCTTGACAGCTTAAGTGAGTCATTCTGGTTTGCATTATGGTGTGCTGTGAATTTTAATCTATCTTGCCAAATTGTTTTATTATTTTGTTCTTTAGCCGGAATATAGCATTTGCATAATGCTTAATACAAATTCTTGCCTGTATTTCAGGGATACAGCAGGCCAGGAGCGATTTCACACCATCACAACCTCCTACTACAGAGGAGCAATGGGTATTATGCTAGTATATGACATCACCAATGGTAAAAGTTTTGAAAACATCAGCAAATGGCTTAGAAACATAGATGAGGTAAGACTAAGAAAGTTTATAAACTCTTCCAGTTTTGTGTGCTTGCCTGAGAACAATAGTATTACAGTTATCTTTAGGCTATAAGTAGTAATTGTTGAAATATTTATACTTTTTAAAGCATAAATGTTATTCTTCGCCTGTCTTTTTCTTAAACATTTTGGCAGATGTATCTTGGAACTCTACTCAAGAAAATGACTAAAATATCCCCAACTGTGCAGTTTCCTTCTAAAATGGGCTCAGACAGTAGATATATAATGGATTTACAATGCTACTCTCCATGAATTCTAACTGGATTCTTTGTCAGTTTATTTTTATTTCATTTCATGTGGATTAAATGTTCAATAGTAATCTTAAACCGTTTTTTAAGTTCTAAAAATAAGATATTTTGATATTTTAAAAGATTAAATATACCAGGAAAATAAAAATCTAGCCCAGAAAATATAGTCATACAGAAATATTAACTTTTCTGAGATAAAGTTGTCATAGCATGTCTTTGCTACAATATAAGTGACTTCTTGTTAAAATTATTTTTTATGCCGTATTGCTTCCTTCTAGGTTTTGAAATTAAAATCAACTATTTAAAGCAAATTTTGACAAGAGATACAAAGCCTGTATTACATCTAAGAATAATAATTTCATTGGTAGCAATCCTAAGGTTCTTTAGTATAATAAATCTTTAAGAGAAAACCTGTTTTTATTTCTTATGATTAATGAACCACATAGATCTTAAGTAAGCTGGAGTTTTGGATCTCCTTATTCTTTATTTTATACTTTGTCCAAGTCGCATGCTTTATATGGATCATTTATTCAGAGACATTATTTTGTAGTAGACGGAGTAGCTTAAGTTTCTCAGTACCAACTGAAATACTTTTTTCTTGAATTGAAGGAGAAAGGAAGTTGGCTTAGACTAATTTTTCTTAGTTGTAGAGCTAAAACTTCAAAGAAATGGTATATTTGTTTAAAGGAAAAGAAATCTAGAAAGGACTATGTCTCAAGGAGCTCTGGTGATATAGTAGTATGTAATGAATGCATTGGGCTGCTAACGGAAAAGTTAGCAGTTCATATCTACCAGCCACTCATGGGAGAAAGATCTCTTACCATAAAGATATACAGCCTTGGAAATCCAGTGGAGGGTCAAGTGAGTCAAAACTGACTATGCTAGAGTGGTATTAGTTTAGGTTAGGTGGAACTTGTCCCCAAAATATAAACATGAAATCAGTAAGGTAAAACACACCATACTAATAGAAGGAAAGGCAGAAAGAAACATATGATCATCTTATACTAGACACAGAAAAAGTATTTGTCAAAATACAGTACCCTTTCATGATAAATACACTCAGCAAACTAAGAAAAGTTTTTAATAGCGAGAAGATGAAAACATACCTTCTCAAATCAGAGACTTGACATAGATGTCTGCTCTGCCACTTGTCAGTATTGTACTGGAAGTTCTAACTGGGACAGTTAGACAAGGAGAGAAGGGACATCTAAACTGGAAAGTACATTTTACAAACAGATAATCCGTGTGTTCACCATGGTTGCAAAGAAGATCAAGATAAGTATGTAAGTATTCGTTATGGTTCTATACATTAGTATTGAGCAGTCTGAAGATGCAGCTAAGAAAAAATTTCATTTATTTAGTATCAAAAAGAATAAAATATTTGGCATTAAATTTAATAAAATGTGTAAGATTTTGGATACTGAACGTCACAAAACATATTTGAAGGAAAGAATATCTGCATAAATGAAAAGACATTCCTTGTTTTTGGATTGGAAAGCTGTAAGTTTGACAGTACTACTTTAGATCTTTTTTTGGTTGTCCATGGGATTTTTTTTTTTTGGTGAATTTCTTTTTTTCCTTTTTCTGCCAAAATTTTAAAAATGCAAAGGACTCAGAGTATCCACTATAATAGTATTATAGAAGAACAAAGTTAGAGACCCACACATTCCAGCTTTAAAACCACTGTGAAAATGAAGTAAAATAATGTCATTCTGGCAGTCATACGTCAGTGGAATTGAATTGAGAATACAAAATTAAAAGCTATGTCTTTACTGATCAGTTGACTTTTAGTAAGGGTGCAAGGACAATTCAAGGAAAAAATGCATCTTTTTAACAAATTGTGCCAGAACAACTGGGTCTCTCCATGCAAAAGAATAATGTTTGGAATCCAATTTTGTGTTATAGATGAAAATTAATTCAGTATAGATCATAGACATAAATGTAAGAAGTGAAACTCAAAAGAAAGTCTGGGAGTAAATTTTCTTAATAGTTTTCTTAGTTACAATATTAAAAAAAAACAAGCAAGAAGAAAAGTAGATAAATTAAGAAATTTTCATTTTCAAAGAAGACTATCAAGTAAATGAAAAGACAAGTTGTAGAATGAAAAAAATTTAATAAATCCTTTATCTTTTAAGAGATTTATATGGGAATATACAAATATTTATTACAGTCTAACAATAACAACACATAACCCAATTAAAAATTGGGCAAAGGATATGTGAGTATATTTCTCCAGAAAAAGTAAACAAATGACTAGAAGCATATAAAAATTCTCAGCATCATTAGTGACTAGGGAAAGACGAATCAAATCCACAGGGAGATACTACTCCATACCCACTAGGGTGATTATAATTTTTTTAAAGTGGACAGTAGCATTTGAGAAAGATGTAGAGAAACTGAAACGCTTCCAAAGCAGTTTGACAGTTCCTCAAAAGGTTAAACATACAGTTATTCTATGATCCAACTATTCACTCTGGGGTATAAGAAAGAAAAATAAAACTGTACGTCTACTCAGAAACTTGTGAGTGTTCATAATAGCATTATTTGTAATAGCCAAAAAACTGGAAGCAAACGTAATGTTTTATCAGGCATTGAATGGAAAAATATAAAGAGACATAGCCATAGAGTGGACTATTCAGCTGTGGAAAAGAATGAGGTACTAATGCATATTAAAGCATGGACAGATGTTGAAAACATTTGATCAGATATATGGAAGAAACCAGATACATAAAAGAGCAAGATTGTATGAGTCCATTTACCATTTATATGAAATATCTATAATAGTCAAGTACATAGAGACTAAAAATAGATTAAGTTGCATTGGGCCACATAGTTGGAGCAAAAGGGGAATGAGCTAATGGGTTTGAGTTTTGGGGGAGAAGAAAGTGATAAAAATATTCTGAAATTATATAGTGGTAATAGTACAGCTCTGTGAATATTTTTAAAACCTCTGAATTATATATTTTAAGTGAATTTTATGGTATGTGAATTTTATCACAGTAAAACTGTTCTTTTAAAAATCTGAACTGAGCTTTAATGCCTTGCTTTACAGTTATTTCTTTAGCAAAAGGAGACAAGTACAAGTTTTCTTTGCTTTGGAATAATGGAAAGAGGTGAGGAGCAGTCACAATAGCTTAGTTAGAATCCTATCCTGATCCTGCTGTTTATGTAGTACTGTAATTTTGCTTAATTTCTTAATTCTGTTTTGTCTACAGTATATTAAACATTTTAGTATTAATTGGGATAAAGGGTTCTATGAACACGTAAAATCTATTATGGAGATTTTGAGCCTTCCATATGCTCTGATTGATGGTGAATGTTATAGAAGGGAGTTAATGGTATGTAATTTCTGCCAAGCTTGGTTACGTGTTTCACCATGAAACTTTGCATTGAGAATACATGGCTTGGTCTTTGGAGTGCTCATTACACTTTGGAAAAACATTGCTCTAAACCTACAGTTCTCAATTCACAGCATGAGCATCACCTGAAAATTGATGAGAAATGCAAATTCTCATGCACTGTTTCTCATCTTTGGAATTAGGTGGAGCCAAACAACCTATGTTTTAAAAATATATAGAGTTTCTGGTGTTCACTATAGTTTGAGAGTCATTGCTATAAACCTTACTTTTTTCATCTGTGATGAAGAAATAATAATATCTGGCTTTTAGAGCTCATAGGACCAAAACCGCTTTCCTCTTTCATCATGTTAGGCCATTTTGATTCACTGTAATGGTGTTATATTATAGATTGATCTCCAAACCATATACCTTGAAGTAAATTGTTTACAGTTTAGTTTTGACAGGCTTATTTCCTTCTAATAGAAGCACAATAAAAATACAAAGGAATGGTAGAACTAACGTGCTTCAGAGTCTCTTGGTCATTGTAAAGTTAATTAGCGGTGGGTTAGATGGCCTGTTTACAGGTTCATGTATTTATTGTAAATCATTACATCTGAATAATCCAGTGGAAGAAAATGAATACTTAAAAGCATGCTGAATATATCAAAGATGTACCATACCACTTAACTACCTCAAGCTTGTTTTAAATATATGTATAGGAATATATATAAGTATTAGGATGAAAGACCACGTCTCAGTAAAGGTGCTCCTCAGTGATGCACAGTCACTTTTGTTTCCCGGAGTCATTGGTAAACCCAGCAGTGTCAGCATCATTTGGGACTTTATTAGAAGTAATCTAGAACCCTACTATAGACCTAGTCAGTATTTGCATTTTGATAAGATGTTCTGGTGATTAATATGTGCATTAAAGTTTGAGAAGCACTTAATGTGGATACAAGGTTTTTCTGCATGGCCTGCTCAGAGATCCTAAGAGTCTCTCCTTGATGATAAGTAAGATTGAACAGACTGGGCAGGCCTTTGATTCCTCCCCCTACCCTTAATTAGCCACCTCTTTTTGTTTTTGTATGCTGTATTACTTAAATTTTTCAAGTACAGTTTGTCTGGAGGGAATAGTGTCTTTGACATAGAAAGGCTTGAATTCAGTGCCACTAAAAAACTTTCTTTTTTATTATGCCTTTAACAGACTGGAAAAATATCCTAATGAAAGCTGGAGAACTCAGTAATAACAGCCCATTCATTAATAGTTCATTTCACTAAGTAATAGGTGAAAGGACCCAGTTTATTGGAAACACAGACAATTCATAATATTATTTTTATAGCCCACATTCTTCTAAGATTGAGTGGACATTTATATGCCAGGGACA